CGATGTCAGTTAGTGATGTTCGCGAAGCATAGAATTGAAATCTAGATTCGATATAACATTTTGTTTGTCAATAGAAACGCACCATCAAAAATAATAAATTGTCAAGTAAGTTGGTGCGTTTCTATTGACAACATAATTGAGGAGTTGTTCATTGAAAATATCCACCATGCTGACAAAAGATATTAAACATAAACTTTTGTTTGTAATGCATAGAAAATAATCCCTTTAGATCTTCCGATGTTAAAATTGACATGAAAAGCATTCAATTTTTTAGTTTTACGAAAGAATTATTCGTCAAATAATTTGTGCTATATGCCAAAAATCAGGTAATTGTCTTTAATAATATATTTTTTTAATTGTTGTTTTATTTTAGATTTCAATTATAGGATTAACGAGAAATCAAAAGAAAATAATTAATCCTAAATTAAGTGGTATTCTTGGAATAAGTACATCTTATAAACCGAACATCGTAAGTAACAAATTATTCCGCCTATTACTTAATATATAATAAATTAAGAAGATTGTACTTTTGATCATACATAATAGAGGGCACGCTTCTTACTATTGAATAAAGTAATGAATATTACAGTATGATTAGACTAACCGTAACAAGTTACCGTATGCAAGTGGAGACTGAAAAATGGTATGTTAGAAAACTGATAACCAAAATTTATTAACATTTTTGCTCTACCACTTTAGAACACGAATTGTAAATTTTATTGATTACTTATTCTTAAATTTAAATGGTAGCTTTAAATCTAATTAAATCTTATCTACTTTAATACTTTAATAAAATAAAAAAAAGTTTCGCAGTGTGATTGGTCTTTTGGGTGGTGCTTGGGGTTTGGCTTCGGCAATGTATGCGACTTTATTTGGTAATTTTTTTATTTATTTTTTTTTAAAGAAAGGGTGGTTCGAATTTTTGTATCTTATTATTGTCTTTACTTTACAATAGGCATATATACGATTCGTCCTTGGGGTTGTATACAGTCTTTTCGTAGTGCATGTGGTCATAGAACGTATAATAAATTTAAAAAAACAATTCAAGTACTTCCATTAATCAATGCTCCTTCATTAATGTCGGAGTCAAATACTACTTCTCCAATCGCCGTTAAAGAATTGCATGATCGCTTAATTTTCTTGAAATTTTTTTAAAGGAATATGTTGTAGATGTAAAATTTTTAGAAAAATCAGAGCAAATGGATCAAAATAAATGAGAGATGACAAAATATTCGCTACTTATTTCTAAATTGAAATGGTAAGGAGTACTGAATCATCATTTCAAAATATTCAACCACAACCATTTGGTATTGAAAGTTGCATCAGACATTTTTAATAACTAATAGGCAAAGGCTATTAATTAGTAATTATAGTTTATTTAATTAATAATAACAAAAAAATAATATTGAGTTGATAGCGCATCCCAATAATAATGATGATAAACTGATTACTAATAAAAATTTAATTGAAATTACCTAATTTTTCAAAGGGAGACTTATGAATCAATGATGTCACAAAGACTTTATTTGTTTAAAATATATACATAAATCCAATAATAAAATATAAAATAAAATAAAAATATTCAGATAATTTTAATTAAAACATTCTTAATACAATCCGCAATATTATATCTATTCCTTGATGTTACTCTCGGATTCATGATTTTCATTAATTTTCTCAGTGTCGAGATTTTTTTCATTAACTAATTCAGTTTCATGATTTTCATTTATATATTCAGCACCAAAATTTTTTTCATTAATTTTCTCTATATCATAGTTTTCATTAATTTTCTCGGGTCCAAGGTATTTAATAGTTTCCTCTGATCCATGGTTTTTATTTAATTTCTCGGATCCATGGTTAAATTTCTCAGTTCTAATTATTACGATTCCAGTCTCAATGTCTTGTAATAACGAAGCATTTTGTTTTGCTATCAGACCAATTTCTTTTTTATAATCCTCACTATACTCATCATTGATTTTATGAGCTATTACATGAAATTTATTATAATCATTATATTCTTCTTCGTTTAAAAATATGTCCATACTATCATTTAAATAATTCCATTCGGTTTTCAAATTTCCCTCAATATATAAAAATTCAAGCAATTTACATTTAACAAATTTTAATACATTTTGTTGAACAGATTGTCGATTAAAATGTTTACTCCAATATTTCATCATGGAGTTCACTTTATCATTCAATGTGTCTTTGATTGACTGAAAATTTAAGATTTTATTGTTCTCAATTAAAAGTTGAAAGGACTTTTGATATTGCATTTGAATAAATTGGTCTAATTTGAATAAGTTAAGGAATGAAACTGATATCTCTAATTTTGCCAAGACATTAAGTATCCAATCAGAATTTGCAGCAGAAAGCGAACCTTCTTTTGAAATTATGCTCACAATAAATTCCATGCAAAATTTGTTGAAAAATGTAAAATATTTGAATAGATTATCATCAGGTATACTATCAAATTCAAGCCTTTCGCATAGACTTATGATTTCCATCGCTAGATCCACCTCAACTAAATTTTTATGAATTTCTAAAAGTTCATTTGAAGTTTCATCATGTAAAAACATCATACCTTGTAATTGTTCAAGTCGTTTCGTGAAAGAAATACAAGATAATAATCCAATCTTGTTTGTTTTACTATTAATAGGGTATTTTGGATCTCTATTATGATATGTTAAATGCCTTTTTGTCCTATCATAAGTCTTGCATAAAATAATTCGATCATTAGCTCTTTTGTTACCAATAATTGATATGAATATGTTACGATTATTAAACCATTTTTCTGCGAAAATAGATAATTTTTGAACCTTTTGTCTTGTATAATGGTTAGATCCAGAATTCGAATTCATTCTAATTAACGTTATGGGTCGTAAACTGGTATTAATACATTCGAAATTAGTATTTTGAGTGGGATTAACTCCCTGTTTTACCTTCACATAATTTTTGATCGTATTAAATTTAGAAGTAATTTGTGAATTGTCTGACTTTTGTATCAAACTTTCTGGAATGAATAAACTTTTTATTTTATTGTCGCTAATTGTTTTCCCGACTATGTAAAACTTAATATCATGCGAATTTACTGCTTGATAAAATTGGAGGGGATTTATCAAGTCTATTATGCTATTACCCTTCTCAAACTCATTATTAAGAACTACTATAGATTTCCCGGAGAAATCCTTCATTATATTTGATTCCAATAAATCAATATGACCTTCCTTTTTAATATCCCATAAAGACACGGTCAAATTTAACTCCTGGCACAATTTAAACCAACTCTCGATGTCTTTTCTTGTAGTTTTAGAATTGGTCACTAACAACAAATCATCCTTATTATTTGTTTTATATGATGGTGAAATTATAATTGATTTCTTTCGAACCTCAATATTATTCACTTTATGAGGTGATTTAATAGTTCCAAGACAAAGGGAGATTGTGACGCTTGCTTCTATAATAGATTGTTCATTTTCAGATAATGTGCTGACCAAATCACAAAACATTTCTTTTGTTTGATTGCCATTTAATAGTAAAATTTCTTGTTCAAGATAGATTGATAAACCCAGAGTGGATTTAAATTTTAAACTATTTTCGGGTATCATCTTATCAATTGTGATTTGAGCTTTGACGATTCTTCTCGATTTTGACTTGGAACCTAGATCGATTTGACTAATATTGCTTAATATCCAAGAAACTCGTGTGACTTTACTATTTACACTAGATTTAATCTCATCATTAAATTGTATCGGATATCTGACATTAACTTGTTTAAAAAAGTCAAAAGTTATCTCACGATCAATCCCAAGCATCAACGCTTTTAAATATACCGTAAACATTTTATGCAAAGGCTTATCTTTTGAAATTCTTCCCTGATCAATGATTTGAAACTCTAAAAGCTTCTCATCATCTTGTGTAAACATAATTTCTTGAGCAGGTTCAATAGATTTAGATAAATGCAAGGAATTATCATTAATTAATGATATTCCAGTTGAAATTAAAGAATCAATTGAAATTTTATAATTATTAGGAGTTGGCATTCCACCGGTATTTTTGAACCTAATATAAGATACATTAATAATAGCTCCCGGTTCGTAAATTCCATTTTTATCTTCAAATTCAAATCCAAAATCTACTAACGTTAACTCATACATTTGGTAATACAAATGTACTTGATTACCTAAGATTGAACCGGTAATAACTTTATACAATTGATTCTTGCATTTATCCAAACTAGAACTATCAATCAAGTAAAGAAGTTCAGCATCTTCTTGCATAATTTCAATATCGATCGTTCCTTTAAAAAGGTCTTTTTTCCCGTTAGGATAAAGATGAATCATACCAGTTTTTCCTAACGAAAAACAATCATTAATGTTAATTTTCCACCCATTCGTATATTGCAATGTTCCTTGAATTGCAATATCACCAACTTTATGTTTGATCGAGTCTGGTGTTGAAATAATAAGTTGAACACTTCCAGGACTTGCATAATCATCTTGTTCATCGTTTAAATTTAAACGTCCAGCATTTAAATCAAACACCAAGTCCATGAGGTTATAAATTGACCCACCCAAGGGTTTTAGGTTAAAAGGATATGATTGAATTGGTAAAAGGACTTCGGGTGACTCCATTGTACCAATTAATAATTTTATATCGAACCTACTTTGACCATTGAAATCATTCCTGATTTCAATTTTAGTTGATAATAAATCATTACTCTTCGCTTCTAAATGTTTGATTTCATTTCTATATAATCTATCGTCGTTGTTATAATTATAAATAAAACATTCGATTTGACGCTTTTCTTTTGAACTCTTTCCAACTTCGATATTACTAATATTTTTGACCTTCCAAAATATATTATATATTTCTCGAGTCGCTGAAGGTCGTCTGATTCCTATAAATTCATCAATCAAAATAGGATGCTGTATTAAGATATCTATTTTTTTACTATTAAAATCTTGTAAAGTGCAATTGATCTTCGAATCAAGAACCGCTTTAAGCATAATATCTTCTTTAATTTGTAAAGGAAAGGTATTTATGTCGGGATTATTCAACCTTGAACGCTTGCAAATTAAATTTTTAAGTTCATAAATTTGATTAAATTGGATTGATTCAGTGATCGTACATAATATGTTATTATAAATAATGTTATTCTTTGATGAAATTATTATGTAAATTCCATAATTATTTGGCGTAGGCATTTCACCTTCATTACGAAGTTTTAATGTTTTTATCTTAATATTATCACTGCTAGGTTCGATAATTCCGCTATCATTAATGCTGTCGATTTCAATTTGGTGAAGTCGAAGTTTAAAAGGTCTTCGATAATTTATGATCTCATTAGTTTCCTCGTTAATAATTTTAAATTTCCAATTAATTTTACCTTTTTCATTTTCATACGTATTTTTCAGTAAACTGAATAAATAAGATTCTTGCTGTTTTGTTGTAATGGTCACATCATAATCTTGTAAATGTTTTGAATTTGCGATATAAATATATTCATCCATCCCAAAGTAAAATGAATTATTCAATGAAATGTTCAAACCATCGTTGCAATTCATGGAACCTCTAAATAATACCTTTTTTAAATTCGTTTGCTCATCGAATTGATATGATAATGATATATCAATCAATCCTTTATTAGTAATGTTTTTCTTTTTGTTTGTAACATTTTCACATGCGTTCATGGAAGCATCGAGTATAAAATCTTGGGTAGACTTGCTTGTTGTTTTTATTTTAAAGCGACGCCTTTGAATGGATTTAAGTTTGTTTGGTTCATCAACTAATCCTATCTGTAAAGTCACGGTAAAATTATGCCAGCTATTATCATTATTGAGCTTAACTTTGCTTGTAACTTGAATTGATTTTCCCGCCTCGACAAAAGGAATTTCTTGGTTATCGATCTCTTCATTTATTGTTTCATCATTTGTCAAAACCGTTCTAACCTGACGTCCAAAGTTTGAATGTCGTCCAAAAGCTGATTCGCTTATGTTGCTAACGGACAAGAATAATACGTATATATCACTTTGAGTACGAATGGCCGTTACTTCACTCATTTTAATGGGATACTGAATGACGAATTCAAAGGATTCTTCAAATGAAATTTGATAAGGTCTTTCAATTTTTGTCATTACCGCCTTGAATTCTAAATTTACCAAATCTTTAAGAGGTTCTTCATCAACAGCTTCACAATCATTAATATTTACAGACATTCTTAGACTTTTATGATTGTTCGGTTGAATATGTAATGGTGCGAATATAGAATGGTTTTTAATCCACTTGGTCTTGGAGTCCAGCTCAATTCTAATTAAAGTATGCTTTGGCGTGGGTTCTGACCCTATATTCTCAAGTTTCATATTCGTAATATTAAATGTACTACCGGGTTCATAAATTCCACTTTCCGCTTGAGGTTCATATTTCAAATTTTTGATTTTCAATGTGTTTGTTTGTACCGGCGATTTCTCATACCATTGACCATCTTCTGCCATAACACCGCACTTAAATGTTCCATTTTTACCATCCCTACCGTTCACTAGGTTTTCATCATACATATTATTTCCATTTCCATGATTTCCAGCTTTCCCACCTTTTCCGCCATTTGTATCATATTTACCAATCAACGTAAGTAAATGAGAATCGTGCTCATTTGTAGTTATCTTTATTTGCCCACCATCCCCGCCATTTCCACCTTTAGTTCCTTTTCCGCCGTGTCCACGATATTCGCAAGTCGAATTTTTATATGATGCGTCACCACCTTTGCCTCCGTCACCACCGTTACCCCCATAAGCTATAAAATGTAACATTCCAGTGAGGTCAAGAAAACATTCTTTATCATAATGTTGATTACCTTTCGTGCCCGTAATGTGGATATGGCCAGGTACTTTAGATCCCTTTACCGAAGATAATACTAAATCCATATTTTTTGCATCTTTGCCGTCTTCTGCAGGTTTTGCGTTACGTCCTGAACTAGAAAATATAGAACCGTCTTTACCATCTTTCCCATCAGCCCCGTTTTTACCATAACCTTTGATTTTTATATCTGTCATTCTTTTTGCTTTTGATACTTTATTGAAAATAACATTTGTATCGAAAAACAAACAGCTCGTTCTACCAAAAAAATGAAAAGAAAAGAAAAGAAAAACAAAAAGAAAAAATGATTTTTTTTAATAGATGATGTAGCGCAAAAAATTCCCATTTTTCATAGTTTTATCGCTTAATAAAGAAATTTGATTTGGAAAGGGTCGTTACATTAATTTCTGGTTTTGAACATCCTTCCCGATTTGTCTCATCAATGAAACAGATGTATATGGAAAACCGGTACGATCGCTGGTCCTATATCAAATATAAAAAAAAAAAAAAACTTTCGTTCTTTCTTATTTTAACACTTTGTATTCCTTTTGTTTTAATACCATCATAAATAAAATCATTTCTAATAGCTCTAGCGACAATGTTGATGAAATTTTGATCCAATGGTATGTATTAAATAAAACAAAAAGCATTTCAACGTTAAAATAATAAAAATAATTAAATAAATGACAAAATAATAATTTTTTCAAAAAAAATGAAATTGTGCCGTTTAAAATCACATCATAATAGAAAATAAATACTATCAAGGCATAAGCTTTATAAGGTCATTTGTTTTGGGCTTTTATTAAAAGAATACTCTAATAACAAGCAGAGGTCATAGTGATTCTGATTGGTATTGGTAAATGACGGTTCTTATTGCTAAAAGTGATTCCTTTATTCAAATTTAGTAATGGTATGTTATTCACGAAATTTATTTAAATAAAATTTTTATATAATTCAATAGGAAACCCTTAATATAAATTTATAGAATGAAATGTGAGTGATGAAGATAAACTATATCCGATATCGGCATTGAGGTAATTATTATTTCCTAATTATATTTATATTAATTTTTTTTATAATTATTATATAGAATCAGATAACAGCTGTGTTTAGACTAAATCTTGAAATTTGGGTTATTAAATACTTTTTGAATTTAAAGAATATCTAAAAAGATCTGAAACAGGAATAGCAACAATTTACAATGTTGCTGGATGGAAACTGATAAAGCAAAGAAGATTTTTAAATTAAATAATATTCAATATTCTTTAAAAGATTCTGAAAAAATGTAAAATTTAAAAGTCACCCATTTTTAGGTGTTGCTTATAAGAATTTAGAACATATCAAGGAAAAAAATATACAAATTTGCTTTATTAGAAGGAAAACATACTATAAAGAATTATTAGATCAAACAGATTATAATTCTCAAGAATTAACTTTAAGGTAAGGAATTTAGTATTTATATTAATTTAACTAAATATTTGTTATAATATCTTATCTTTTATTTAGTAATTTTAGCCAATTTATTTCTACTGTTATGATGGTTTCATAGCTTCAATTAAAATCTCAAAAGGATAAATAAAACTAAGATAATTATTTAAAGAATCACAGGTGAGAATTCACAATAATGTTAAAGATTATTCTCAATATAAAAACATGTGGAATAAATACAAAATAAACACAAAGAATTACTCAAAAATATTTCAGAGATTATGCTTCAGAGACTCCAAGTCAATACAATTAATCAATACAATATCATATAATAAATTCACTTACAATAATTAAAAGGATTACACAAATGCAAAAGGTCACAAATAATATAATAATTTTAAAGGATTTGTAAAGGATAAGTTTTATACTTGGTTAATTATACTCTTTTATTAATATAATAAGTAAGTTCAGTACCTAAAAGATTAACATCTTATCAGTTACCTTTGTCAGAAAAGTAATGAGACTTACACAAATCCAATGACTGCATATCAACAAAAAATCAGAAACCTGATTCTTTACTGATTATTTATTAATTTTGTTATGACACTGTCCTGATACTTATTTCTGATTGGTCGCAGATTCTTGTAGCATTTCTGGACAAATCCAATAAACTACCAGTAAACTGTATAATATAAATATCAAATTTAATCAGTAAAGAATCAGATTTCTGATATATGTTCAATAGCTCTCTTACATACATGTGATTTGATATTTATACTTTTAAACTATCATAAATTATCATTAACCAATCATGCATATATAAGTTAGCGATATTTGATGATTTAACTGATTTGAGATGTTATGTCACAAGTATCGCTCAAATATTAGATATCAATAAAACTGAAATTTACATTATTCTTTATTATATAGCATATATAGTAACATGTATATTTATTTAAATTACATATCTAATTAATATATTAAAATACATTATTGTACCATAAATCCTAATTAGTAATACTACTATTCTTACTGATTTATTAATTATCAGTAACACCACTACCTTGATTAAAATCATTTTTGAAAATGTATGTATATAATATTGTCCACTTCAGAGCATCCTTCGGTGGCTTAGATTTGTTGCACCATCTACTATCTTCATATTAACAGCGACGTGAAATCTTTATATGACTAATTTTCTTATCAACTTTATCTGCTGTTCGAAGTAAATCATGAACCTATTTAAATAAAAAGAAGTAATAAATCTAATAACTCAATAAGGAATAATGAAAAATATAATTCAAAATATCCAATACTTACATGACGCGACCTCTATGGTTTATCATAAATATAAGGATATATTTATCTGTATCCTTTTTATTTTTAGGTTGAATAAATTTCGTAATTTCTTCTTTGACGAGATTATCATCAGTTTCAAAATCTCATTACTATAGTATCTTCCATTCTTAATTAGGGATTCACAATCTTTTTTAAACTTATCAAGAGATAAAGATTATAGTTTAATTTCTTCAAGTGAATTATCATTTATATTGAATATATACGATAGTCCTTTCTGACACCATTCTTTTTTCTATATAGAATAAATAAATATTAGCAATGAAATTATTATCCAATAGGTCATACAGAGGATATTATACTTATATCGCCTCTACGAGAATTGATCCCTTTTGTCTCTTTTCTAATTTTACTTTATCTAGATTTTGATTTATTTTTCAACTTTCACAATGGTGTCGATATAATTGCTGCAAAACTCATTTTAATTCTACATCTTTATACCAAAACCTTCCCTCCATAACCTTATTGATCACTTTTATTATATGTTTTGAAATATTCCCAGCGATCTCAATCCATTTTTTAGTGTGATCCAGTTGAAGTGAATTATCAAGACCATTAAGGATCTGGACAACTTCATCTTTAATTTAATTTAAAAAAAGAATAAATTAGAACTTTACAATTTTGTCAATAGACAGATAATTATTTAATATTTATATAGAACAACTTATTTTGTTATTTGTCCATATCTTCAAGCATAACTCAAGCACAATAATGGTAACTACCTTTGGGTTCTGGGAATATTAATACATATCTAAGAAGCATTGATTGAACTGAAAGTATTTTTTTTTCAGGTTGGTAGCTGGTCGAGCTAGAAGCTTTGAGGATGTGAACCTTTTTAACAAGCATATTAATGACTTTACTTAGGGCTTCAATATCTAAAAAAGATCAAAATTTTAAGAGTATGTGATATTATTAATTCACTTTTATAATCGTTTTAATATTGAATTAATAGTATCATTATTTTTATTAGCATCTGAACCCTGATAAGTTGACTCTTCTTTTCTTCGACTACATTCTTCTCTACTTCGATTACTTCATGAATAACTATTTTGTGAATGATAACCTCTTCGTTGTTAGTGATAATCTGTTCACGTAACTAGATAACTGCGCTAACTAATGTCACTAATGATCACCAGGAAAATTATGATCACTGTTTTCACTGATTTCACTGTTATCACAGCTATCGTTGTGATATTCATTTTCATTATTATAACGTTTATCATTATTTTATTTATTATATTTATTATCATAGTTATATTTACTTTCACTATTATATTTATTATCTCTATCTTATAATTGTATTTTATATAAATATCCTGTATTGTCGCCTTGACAAACTAACAAGTTTCAATCGTACAATTAATAAAGTATAATCTTAACAATATAAAAACTATATCTTTATCAATATCTATTTCCTTAAAACATAAATCATCAATAAAGACGACCTGACCTTTCAACTTAAATAATTCGTGTTTATTTCTTTCATAGTTTACCATTTAAACTCCTTGTTAGCAAATAAGCTTTGTTATCCTAACGACATAGTATTTAGGCTTAACAGCATTTCAATATGTCAAGATCTATGTTTTTCCGATTTGTTCGTAAGACAATATTTTTAAATATTTGATGGACCATCTCTTTCGTTCTGATACCAGTGTTCAACAATGTCGCATAATTTCTAGCATATTGTACCAAATGATAATTAACATGCAAATTCGAAAGATTCTCAAAATCTTTGAATGCCTGTATGTTTTATAAATTAATAAAATAGTGATAATAAAATAGTAATTAGCACGATTTGTAACTATTTGATTATATTCATTAATAAAATAAAGATTGTAATTACCTGTGAAAATAAAGTTCTTTCATTATCTAAACATTTACGTAACTTAATGTAATCCTCTTTTATAAAAGAATGCTTGAACACTATTGCCATCATCTTCGCCATTAGTATCCAACATTTTAACCACAATTTCACTGCTGAATCATTATGAGAAACACCTATTCGCGCTCAAAACTTGTCGATTTCAGATTGTTTGAAGTGTTTATACTTTAAGAACCTATTCAAAATAAATGGTAACATCATAATCAAACGTAAACAATCTGACATCATAAAGCTATCGATGTGAGATATTGGATTGGCAGCTTTTGCCACGTTCTTAGATATTCGAACAATTTCTAGAATAAGATGAATTCTGATTTTCTTTCTTGTGAAAATGCTTCAATTGTTCTTTTGAGAAATCGTAATACTTTTGCAACCATAATATGATAGACATCTTGTGGTGACTGAAGATGTCTCTCTCTTTTTAATTGGTCAAGTATTAGTGGCTGAATACGTAACCCATATTTTGTTACAAGCTCATTACACTTCGTTATCGTTGAAACTACAGAAATTTCTTTAAATTGATTATCTGTAAGATGATAATAACAAGAAATAAATGATAAATCGAGACCATCAGAAGTCTAAGAATCTTTTTTTGCATTACAAGTTCGATACTCTCTTATAGCACTATGCCTCTTAACTCTGGCTAAATCGTTTCCTTAAAGCAAGTCTGTAGTTATGTCTTTTAGACTTGCAATGATGAGATTTTTACTTTCTTATACATCCATTACTATTCCTTTTTCTAGTTTCTTCATCTTATTAATAAAAGGTCTAATGAATTTATTGAAGTGGCCACCAAATAGAACAAAACTGAGCACAAAATGATTCTTGAGCTTCTTCCTCTCTTTAAATTTCATGTTTCTAATTTCAACGTAAATGCTACCTAGTGAATGATAGATATTACAAAATGTTTTGAAGTCATTATAATACATATCGATGTATAGCTTATACATCAGAAGATATGTTGACAATTCTTCTAATAGAGCAAATTCTGAAGGATGGCAATAAGAATACGTGATGTTTCTTAACTTCTAACGACCATGATATTTATAAAGAATTTCTTAAATAATAATTGAAGAAACTTTATTATTAGTATCTTTGTTGTAAAGTATAATAACTGTAGCATATTTGACGATTTCATATAATTTGATAGTTATAATTGCATTTTCTATCTTTTGATCTAACAGTCACACTTCAACATGTGACCTTTCTTTGCGATTATTACTTTGTAATTTATTTGACAATTCATCAAACCTTAAAATGCGTTGAATTGTTATTTTGAGCTCACCATGTATTTCCACTATCACTAAAATTCTACCAATTCTTATCATTATTTTTCTATAAACTACGAAATCCTCACAATTGTACGTTGCTAAAAAATTAAATAATATTTACAATAGCCATTGTTTTTGTTACCATTGTTTTAAAATAAAGTAATATTTGATAAATTAGTCATTGTTTCAGTATTATTATAAATGTTATTTGTATATGAAATATTAATATTTAATTATCTCTATTAATTCGAATAAATGCACATCCAAATCATAGAGATTCTTTCCATAAATTTCCATGTCAGAATTTGAGATTTCTTTCAACTATTTGATTTAGGCCAAAATACATCTGGCCAAATATTGAATGAGTATTGAGAGTATGTCAAATTATATCTGTAATGAATAACTAATACATATCCTTAGTTTCTCAGGAAGTTGATGGGGTTTTTTTGTTTGAAATATGAATTTTGCATGATTTGATAGAAAGCAAAGGTAATCTTTGTCAATACTTTCTAAACTGATAAATGTTTGTTACAATATCTTTGCTTTTGAACTATGAATGATGAATTATATCTACAAGCTTATCGTAAGCTCAGGTAGCTATTGAGTATAATAATAGAACAAATTAATTTAATAATTATAAAGATAAATAAATCATTAAATTGATCCTTATATATATTATGTTTTTGAATCCAACAAAACATCAATGCTTCAGTAATGTTTTTAAAATACAGTATGAACTCTCTATCGGTATAAAGTATTTGTTCATCACTTAATACCTTATCAATGATTTTATCTAGCATTTCTTCGTTCAGTACTTCATCGTCATCATCATCACTAGATAATTCATCCTTGTTAGATTCTTCATAACCATCAGATAATTCATCTTCACTAAAATTTTCATCATCATCACCACTATTATTAAATAATTCTTCATAAGATCCCTTGTTAAACAATTCATCTTCGGATAATTCTTTCTCAACGAAATAATCATTATTAGATACTTCAAAATCAGTTTTGATTTCAATTAGCATCTCATAATCACTTTATAATCGATTCCTTTATTTGATAATTCATCGTCAATTCCTTCATTTGATACTACATAGTCAATTTTTTTATTTAGTACTATAACTTCTTCATTATCTAATTCTATTTCGATATTTAATGTGTCTTTTTATTATATGAAGAAGTGTTCTATTTCAATGCTTTGTATTAATAAATTAAACAAATTATATAAACAATATTTACCATTTATTCTAGTATCTTTTTTGTTATCTAAAGATGCATCAAATATATTATGTAGGTATCTTATATAATTTCATGATAGTTATATAAAGTAAAATGATTGCAAAACATTTGTAAAAATCACTTACGCAGAAAATAAGAAAGAAAAAATTAAAAAAAAATTGAAGTAAAGAAAAAAAAAATATTTTTTTTAAACTTTTGAAACAGATGAAAAATTCTCATATAACAATTACTTTTTTTTACAATCAACAATTTTTACATAATAATATGCCAACTTTAGTAATAACTATATTATACTGTATAAATTATATAAATAAAAAAATCAAATCTCTAACCAAATTTAGTAATAATGATTATGTAAAAAGAAAAATAAAGTTAATTTTGATAGTAAATTATATACTTTCATATGAATACATTATTAACCAAATTTAGTAATTGATAAATAAAAAGGTTAATGTTATGTTACAATTTTGTATAATAAAAAATATAAGCAATTTATTTAAAATGTATTTTTTTTCTCTTTGCTTTTATTAAATAACTATGAATCCTTCTAGAAAATCAAAGAAACGTGCGATTAAAAATAAACACAATTAGTACAAATACTAAAAAAACTCGCAATAATTAAGAAATAGCACCTTTAGATAACTTTAACAATCTTTTAATTAATACAGATGTTTCACAGAACAAAAATACAAAAAATATAAGTAAGAGAGATTGCAAAAAGAAAGTACAAGAAACTGAAGCTATAGATAATCATGAAAATAATACTATTAAAGGAACTGAATAAAGTTATAAGAGTTATAAAGGGAATAAAGTTATTACTTCACAACTACAGATAATTGATGAATTTTTGAACGATAGTGATAGTTCAAACAAAGATGACAATGATGTTCCAAACAAGGATAATAATAATCCAAATAAAGATAACAATAGAGACGATAATGACATTTTAAAAGAGAATAGTAATAAGGCTTATAAAGCTATTACACCTTCAAGACTGATACTAATTCTAGAAAAAGAAGCTACTAGACTAATGTTAACTCTAGAAATAGAAACAAATAGAAGATCAATGTCAGTTCTAAAAAAAATAATTTTTAGACTGATATCTTTAGATTCGAGAGCTAATAACCAAAATGAATTCTTGTTCTCTAAACTGAAATCAGCTTTAAAATCAAAAACTGATAGTCAAGATGACTTTACATTTTCAAGAAGAGTTCTTTCAAGACTGAATTCAACTCAATTAGATATTAATAGTCAAGAAAAGATTCTTTTGAGATCAAATTTAAGACCTCTATCAGGTGTTAATAGTTAAGATAATAACTATTTTATTTCTTCAAGATCAATTCAAGACTAAATTCAAGATCTCCATTGGGTATTAATAGTCAAGACGATGACCATTTTACTTCTTCAAAGAGAAGAACAATAGTCTTGATTATTATGATCCCTCAAACAAAGCATTATATTCAAAACCTATGAGGCTGTCACCTTTAGGATCAAGAGCAAATATAATGAATATTCTTAATAATACATTTAATGATACATCTTATCATTCCAACATAATTAACGAGGATATTCCTTCTCTATTTAACGAGATGATAATTTATCAGCTTTATTCGTAGTTATGTATAAATCCTAATGTTTTACAGCTGGCAAATAACATGCATTTGTCAATACAAATTCCAGCTGTAGAAGGGTCACGACTTATGCATTCTATCTCAACTGAGTTATTGAATATAATGTCAAATCAAGGGAATAATGCAAAAGCTTGCCATGACTTTTTAGAAAAATTGAAATGTCTATTTTTACACATTCAAAATCTGCTAAAGAGTGCTTTTGAAGAATTGATATAACAAATTCTTAAATGTAAACTCAATTCAGCAGAAGGCATTGAATGGCTTTAAATAGCAAATAAATACTTTAGTGACTTTCATAATAAATTAGTCAATAGTGTCAAAATTTTGGTTGAAGATTTCAAAGAAAAAGAACCTTATTAGTATATTTGTTTTCTTTTTATTTATTTTTTATTTAATAATATTTATTAATTATAGGCCTACAATGAGCCTATTACAAAAAGAAGAAATTATCTCTTTTGTGAACGAGTCTATGATAACTCATGTATTAAGTCAATAGTTAAATGCCACTAATATGAATAAATTACAGGCTTAAGGTTCGATGTCTCATCTGTGTAAATTTATTCAGCATGCATTTGCTGTTAATTATTCAGCAAGAGACACTGAAAAGACAAAGACTTTAGATAAATTAACAAAAGATATTGGAGTACCATCGCAAAATAGCAAAAACTTTGTCAATGATTTACACTTGTGATAAAAAACTTTCGCATATATGATTTTTCATTATTCATTTTTATAATAATAACATTTAACAAATTCTACATAATGTATAATACTTTATTTTTATTTTATAATTATAATAA